TAGATATAGATATAGGTATAGGCATAGGTATAGATATAGATTGATAGATTGATAGATTGATTGATAGATACATAGATAGATAGATAGATAGATAGATAGATAGCTATAGACATAGATATATATGTATATGATATAGATAAAAAAATATAGAGATGTATGTATATATATATATAGATATATATATATATACACGGAATGATAGTGTATACAGATCCACTGGATTCAGAAGTACACAAGTTACACACACAAAAACCTACAACCAAACTACCTGTAGGATATCTGACAAAAGCTTCTTGAGGAACCCGTACTTATATATACCTAGAGAAGCAAGACGGTAAATCCTACAAACCTACGACCCGAAACCCGAACTCTAACAACTAAATGCTGGTTTCGTTCAGCATCGGGCGTCTAAGCTGCCGAGGAACAGAACCTCAATGATGTCGCCTGGCTGATAGGAGCAAGGTTCAGGGCTTGGGGGTTGAGGGTTTAAGGTTTAGGGTTTTTTTGCTTCCCGCCTGGCTAGGAAAGGAGTTTCGGGTTCAGGGCTTGGGGGTTGAGGGCTTGCACGGGTTGGGTTGGGGCTTTGAGTTTTGAGGCTCTCGACGGTCTGTTTGCAAGGAGCTTCCCACCCTACAGGAGCCACCTACAAGCCTACAAGCACAGGGAGTTCGGAGTTCTACATCCTCGCTCCCCTGCTTATGGTCTGCAGGAATTTACCAGGATTTTAGATTTTATTCCAAGGGGAAATCTGGACTCCAAACCAGCCGGGGTCGCTCGCGACGCTTCGGTGAAAAGCGAAAGTGAGCTCCTCCTCCTGGACAAGCTGTCCAGCCACCTCGGTGGCCCAACCTCTCCAGGGCCTCAGGTCACGGGCTTCAAGGGCCGCGTTTGGGGGTAAGTTTCGGGATTTGTGACGGGTTCGAAGCAGCAGCAAACAAAGACTGCAGAAGCGGCGCAGGCCTGACAGCAATGACACTGGAGAGGCTGCACACTTCACGACAGTCGCGTAAGCTTTCCGCATGATCTTGTCCAGCTTCTCCCGGAGGGTCCTTCCCCGAACCACGGCCACCACGCTGTCCCAGCACAGCTCGGATATGTCAACATCGGCGCATTTCAACCTAACCCTCTTCGGAACCTTCTTTTGCACCATCTTTCTGACCCTCTTTTTGCTGGACTCGGCCTTACAAACCACGCGCTGCAGCTGTGGCCGAATCCACTTCGTCAGCGTCTGCCGCTGGGCCTGGCCGTCAAGGGACCCTCCGGGCACGAAGTCGAGCCGCTCCCCATCGGGCATGAAGCTGGAAGGAAAGTAGCCTTCGCCAGGGCTGGGTTTAGGGGTTTAGGGTTCAGGGTTTAGGGTTTAGGGGCCAGGGTCGGGGGACTTGAGTAGCTATTTCAAGAGAGTTATAAGCATCATAAGCCCCATGAGGGTCCCTTTTTGGGAAGGGGCTTCGGGCTACTGGCATGACTGGCATGTGCCTGACATAATTGACATAGCCCCGAACGGTGGAAGATCCGTCGCCCAAGGACCCCGAAGGCACTCCTTCCAAAAGCACTGCAAATGCTAAAACAGAAAAGTCGACAGTTCAGGGTTTCGAGTTTAGGGGTTTAGGGTTTAGGGTTTAGTCGACAATTCGAATTTCGCACTGCTGTCCCGGGCAAGGTTGTCGAGGCCCTGCTCCTAAACCCTACCTGAACCCCAAATAACCTACCGTTTACGGGTTCCTTATCACGACTTCCTGACAGAAGTCCCTTTACCAGGGTAAGCCCTAAACCCTAAACCCTAAACCCTAAACCCTAAACCCTAAACCCTAAACCCTAAACTAAGCTAGTTGGTGTAAACCCTACCTGGGGATCCAAAACCCCTTTGGCTTCGACTCTCACTCTCGCACGCAGCAGGCCAGGATCCTCATAATGAGGGTTACTTGGAGGCCCGGGGGACTTAGTAAGTCGGTCATAAGTAGACTTATAAGTACCCTAAATAGAGTTACCCCAATTATAACCCTATTTATAACCGACTTACTAAGTCCCCCGGGCCTCCAAGTAGGGGTTACCCAGAGACTCCAATATCCCTTAGTTAAGGAACATACCTTAAATCATGTTAAGGCTCCTACTATAATTTTAGGAATATTCCTTAATTAAGCGATATTGGAGTCTCTGGGAATACTCGAAAAATTAAGGGGTCATAACCTGCTGTCTTGTAGGGTTTGGGGATACAGGTAAACCCCAACTTGGAGGGTCGGGAGACTTAGTAAGTAGGTAATAAGTAGACTTATCTGTACCCGAAAAGGGACCCTATTGGGGTTATAGTACTTATAAGTCTATAAAATATTTATAAAATAACCATTTACTAAGTCCCCCGACCCTCCAAGAAGTGTGTTCTGCGTTTCATCTCTCAACGCCTTGCCGGAGGCTCGGGTGATCCGAGGCCCCTTCTCGCCAGCATCGTAGATGCAAAGCCTTACCAGAGGGTTTGGGGTTTAGGGTCCAGTACCAAGCTTCTTTAACGGTTGTTTTGGGTTTGGGGCTGTCTGTCCCAGCCGCTTAGCGTACCAGGTCACGTTGCAATTGCAGGGAGCAGGGTTTAGGGCGTAGGGCTTTAAGCCGGGTTTAGGGGTCTGGGGCTTTTGGGCTAAGGGGGATTCGGGGGCTTCTTGGCTGGAGAAACAAACTCAGCTAGGATAGCGGGCTTTTGGGAGGTGCAAAGAATACGGGCTTCGGACACGGAGAGCTTGGTTTAGGGTTTAGGGCTAAACCCTAAACCCTAAAACCCCATCAAAATCTGGTTTTTTAGGGTGAGATTTCGACCTGAAGATGGCTCTTGTCCCGGTGCAGACTGGGAGGGTCGAGGGACTTCGTAAGTAGGCAAGAAGTAGAGTTACAAGTACTCCAAAAAGGGATCCTAATTGGGTTGTGATACTTAGAACTCTACATGATTACTACTTACTACCCCGACACTGTTCTGAACCCAGACTCTGCTGTTCAGCTGGGAAGCAGCACTGTGCAGCACTGTGCAGCTTTCAAAACACTAAACCCTAAACGACTCCCAAACCGGAAACATCTAGGCTTGCATGCGGAAAGGTTGGAAGATTGATGGCTTCCGGGCAGCTTTCAAGACTCTGGTTTTCTACTTCAAAGCATTGGGTAACTAGTGGAAATGGGGCACCGTACGAGGGATTTGCGGCATGTGTCCATGTCAAACCCTAAACCCTCAACCCTAGACCCTACACCCAACGTCTACATCCAGGCCCGGTGCTCCAAATCGCAAGCTTGCTCCCATGACAACCAAGTGGCCTTGAGGGTGACCTTCGCCTGTGTTGTGTCGCTAAGCTATGGGTTGCTAGCCCGACATGAATGCCCATCGGCAGGGGAGGTTGATATAGTCTGCACTATTTCTTACACTCGCGCAGTTTCAGGCAGAATGCAATTAGGGCTCCTAGGGTTCCAGCGTATTTTTTACATGGGTTCCTATGAGCTGCTATGGCTTAAGGTTTGGGGAGTGGCCCAGCCGAAAGCCACTGCAGTTCAACGTCAAGCCTCCAACTACGGAACCCTAAACTCGACCCGGGCCCTACTGCTCATGAAGTTCCGCCTCATCTTGCGTCACCAAATAGCCAGACTTCGATCTGTTGTGGCACCGCCATTCTTGGAGCTCCAGTTCGAGCACCACCTGGAACCTAGAGCAAGCCCCTCAAAAGCTTGCAAGATGTGCCATCGAGTTGGTTTTGGAGAGCAAGAACTTGAGGCGAACAACGGAAAGAAAAACTAGCGAAATCTCGAGACGTGCTGCCTCTCACCCGTTCTTGCGGAAGCATCCGGCTGCTTCCTGAGCTGGAAACTTAAGGTTGGAGTTTCTGCAGGGATTTGTTTTTTCAAGTTCGGAGCAGGGCTGAAGCGACTTGAGGCTGAGGATTAGGGAAGCCTGATCCCACACTCCGACCACCAGGCATGCTTGCGGTCCAATTTTTCTGTCAACATCTAGATCACCGGTCTGAGAGCAGTCAAAAGCGCCGCATACCCCAACCCTCAACACAAAAGTCGCGCGGCAACCCTAAACCACACCCTTCACTACACGCCTTAAGCATCCTCTAGCCCTCATGCCTATTCAACCCCTAAACCCTAAACCCTAACCCTAAACCCTAAACCCTATATTATCTGGCAGGCCCGGTAGGCAAGGCTCCAAGGATTCCAAGGCTTCCGCGCAGCACCAGCCAACGGCTCGGGCCAGGCATACATTTCCTGTGTTAATTGAAGGTTTAGGGTTTAGGGTTTTGCCTTTTGGGGTTTAGGGTTTCAGACAGGGTTTAGGGTTTAGGGTGTAGGGTTTCAAAGGGTTTAGGGTTTAGGGTTTAGGGTTTCAGAAAGGGTTTAGGGTTTAGCGTTTCAGAAAGGGTTTAGGGTTTAGGGTTTAAAATTTTCTAAGCTACAGTTAAGGCGCACACGGCAGGTTTGGGCTGAAGGTTTTTGGGGTTGAGGGTCAAAAAGGGTCGGCATCAGTGGCACTGGCCAACACAGCAACTTTAGCTCCACCTGAACAAAACAAGCGGACAAAGCTGCGAATTGGAAATCTCAGTGTCAGCAACCTGGAAGCTTTGGGAGCTCCACACACCACGCGTATTGCCAGCAACACGCGGTCCAGCACGAAGGCCTTTCTGCTGCAAAATCCAAGGCAGCTTGGGCCATCGGGTGCCATGATAGCTCACGATTCGCGCGCAAGAGCCCGCCGCTCCTGAGCTGTTCGTGTCCTGCAGCTCTAAGCGGAGCCACGTGCTCGTGATGTCATTCCAGTCCCCCCCATTCACTGTGTGGGTGACAGCTTGGGCATTTTCCCAAGCAAACCAGAAGTCGAAGTTTATGTCCAAATCATCAACTCCTGCCAGCCCCATGATATCCTTCGGACGTCGATCAAAGCGGCGACTGTGGTGCAACCACAGAAAACGAAGAAGAGAACGACAATCGTTCAATAAAGCTTCCCGAGCCTGCACAGGAAGCTAAGAAACAAACAAAAACGCATTTGTAACGGCATGACCCGGCTTGCATACCATCATAACCAAACATGACCATCTCTGTGCGCTCCCTGCCTCAGCATGTGGCCCATAGCCCGGAGGCGGAGGTAGCGGTGGCAACGCGACGACCTCAGCCTCGGGCTCGACTGCGGAGTCATCCCAGAGAACAATCTGCAAGTTGCTAACATCCTGCACCGCCGGTTTGCTCATTGGCCACACCTCCGGCCATGGCGCATGAATGCAAGATTTGCATTAAGATTTGGGGCGTGGGATCTGGCTCCAATGGCATTGTCCGGTAGCGCATGTTGGTTTTCGGGGCTGAAGGTCTACGCCATACGGAATTGGTAGTATGACTGTGCCTTGATGCGGGGCCGCTGGCAAAAAAAAATCTCCGGCGATTCATGCCGCACGCGCACTCAATCTTTGCACATAGCCTCACATACCAGCTGACGAACATTCGGCTGGCAATTATTAAGTAGGCGTTGACATCAACGGCGATGGGTGCATCGAAGGGTTCGGATCTCTGCGCGTTGCGCTTGTGGGTGCGAGGTGGTGTCACAGGTCAGGAAGGCCCAATATTTCCAAAAAAAATGCACAGCAAGCTAACACTGAACCGATGGGAAGCACTGGCAGCACTTGGCGTTCTATTATCTTGACAACGATGATCCGCGCCTCAGTTCGTCTTCGGTGGAGCCCCGATGACAGTACCAATGTAATTTCGGCGTGCATGATCCGGTGTTTTTTGCAATTGCCCAGGGTTCCCCTTGCATCAAGCCCACCCAAACTCTATTAAACCACACAAAAATCGGACAAAATCCCACCGCTCCTGAAACGTTCCGTTTCTCCGGCATTGTTTCCCCCTGTACTGTCCTCCGCCTCTGCGAGGGGTTCAACACGAAATGGAAACGTGTGTTTTTGGATGCCCCTCGTTTCCAGTCATGGTATATGTCGCATGTGGTTACGTTTTGGCTCCGTTGTCGATGCTCCTCCATATCGCCTGCATCGCCTTTCTGCTTGGGGTTCCGTTGCCGTTGCGATATTGGTCCCCATTTCTATTTTGCTCCCTGCCGGCTCTCCATGCTCTCCACTTTGTGTTCCGGCAAATGTGGAAGCGGAAATGGAAATGTCTGCGGCAATACACAGGAAACGAACGGCAACAGAACGGAATCACAAACGGAAGTGGAACGTGTCAGACATGGAACCTTACCTGGGTCATTCTTGCCAACATTGCAGGAACATGCGAAAGCGAAGGAAACGAGCTGGGCGATCCCCTCATGCCTGCTTTTTGCAGCCATGCACAGCATGGTCCCTTGCGCGAGGTTGATGTTGTTGTTTCAAGCACCTTGTTGCAACAGCTTGAAGAATCCGGTGCGGTCCCTGTGCAGTGTGCTGGCTACACGGAGAGAGGCTCCGCTTCTGGGCCGCGGGCACACGGGGGCGGTGGTTTCAGGAGTCGAGTGGTTGTGGCTGGGGTGCACATCACCGTGCAAGCAAGCGACTGGCCGGCGGTGGGCTGTCCAGCCGGTGCTCGGCCTGCGTTTGTTCGTGGGTGTCTGTGTCACCCTAAATACCCGAACGAGTACCCACTTTACATGAAAAAGCAAGGACAAACAAAAACACACACACACAAACATTTCAACCTTTCCTCTGCGGGGACGTGTCTTTACGACGGGCCGGCAAGGAGTGGTACCTGCACACCTCCGCGCACATGCAACATTCGGCGAAGCAGGCGCGGGGGTGTCGACCTCAAGCTAAATGGGCCATTGGCTCGTGGGCCAATCCGCAAAGAGGCGCGCTGGGCGCGCACCTCGTATGCCGAGGCGGCATTGGAGAGGAGCCACGGCGCTCCCGGGGCCGTGCCGCCGACGGCGGGCTGCACAGCTGTTGTCAGAATGCCCCAGGGCCCCACCACCCGGAATCGCAGCTTTCTCACAGCCCGGGCTCGGTTGCTGGAGATGCCGGAGACAGGGCTGTGAGCAAACGTCGTCAAATCTGCGAGAAGCGATGTGAGCCATCTGTGAGAAACCTGTAACCCGATTTGTTTTTGCAAAGCGGGGTTGTCTCAGGCTTCGCACCCCTGGCTGCAGGCCTAGGTGCGGCCGCTGGAGATGCCCTATGCAAGGCTGTCGGTGCATCTGCACACTGCTGCAATCAACGGCGAAAAAAGTTCCGTCGCTCGGTTGCTGGGCCGCAGGCACACCGGTGCGGTGGTTTGTCTTCCACACGCCTCTCACCGGCCGCAAGTAGCCCTTGGCGCGGAGCACAGCTCGCGCGTGAGGCAAATTCGTCAGTCCGGCTACGCGCGCCTGGCACAACAGTCCCGGCCGAAGAACGCCGCAAGCGGCCAAACACACCGCGAGCTTGTGAGCACACGACGAGCGTGTCTCGTTATTGTTGGACTGGAGGTAGGAAGACGCTTTAAGTGCTGAAGCCGCCCCGGTCCTTCGCGGCACCGTGCTGCCAGCCTCCGCCTTTGAACTACTGGCGGTGACGTTCTCGCCTCCCGAGCTCTACCGCTTCGAAAGTGCGGGACGCGTGTCGGGAGCAGTATCGTTAATATCGTTTTTTTTCCAGCGTGAACATCGCTGTGCCGGTCCACGAGAAGTCGTTTGCGACGGCCGGCCGTTTTGGCACGGGTCGCAGCTTGAATGACGGTGCGGGCGCTGCGATGATCCGGATTTCTTGTTATTGCAGCCGGCAGTTCCCCGCCAGGTCCTTTGCCGCCTGCGCTGTTGTTGCTGCCATGGCACCGCCACCGTCGATGGCCGTCTCCCCGACCTCAGCTACATGCTTGCCGAGCAGCCCGCATGGTGACGTGCACCCTAATTGCATCGCGCGGCTTGGGTTACCCGCTGGTCGGGGCTATACTGGCTGTCGCTGCACAGCGTGCCATCGCGTCCCAGTCGGCGTGCGCAGGAGAAGCCCTCTAGAGGGAAGCTGAGGGGACGCCCCGCCGCCCGTGCACGAAAAGGGCGAACCTCCTGGGGCGGGGAGACGGCTTGCGGGCACTGTGTCAGCGTCGCGGGCATCCGCCACTAGGTCACCCAAAAGCGGCACCGTGCCGTCGCATTCGTCCGCTCCCGCCAGGGGCAACTCAAACAGCGAGTAGGCCAGCGCGCGTTGTGCCGCCACGGCCAGCATGCCCACTCATCGGCGCCATCCATCGGTGCAGGGACACGTTGCACGGCCGGGCGTAACCACGCTGGCGACTCGCGGGCACGAGCTTTGGCCAGGTGCCGCAGGAAGGCAACGGCTTCTCGGCTAAACCTGCCCCAATTTTCAACCCCAAGCACAACAAGTTTACGCCGGCGGGCGACTGCCAGCTCCGTTTCGCCGCCTGAACAAGCACCGTGCCTTGACACGGTGACTGGTGATATTAGGGTGGTGTCGACGGCGGCTGGGCACCCTGCCAGATGGGAGAGCCATTCGCCAAGATTTCGATGCGGCGGCCGTCAGTCAAGGGCACGTCGACACTTATGTCCCGTAAGTGTACATTGGGGGCCACACGTGCTCTTGTTTTTCGGCACACGCGGGCAGCCGCCCTTTCCAGCGCTGCCCCGCGGGTTTCCAAGCACACTTGGTCACGATGAGCTGCACGAGGTCCTCGCGGACGTTCGCTGGCAGCTCTGTGCTTGGAAGCCGCCAAGGCTGTGCTGCTGACGGCCTGCTGCACCGCTGTGGGTAAAGTTGGTTAAAACTGCTGATCGTGGTGGCTGTCGCCCGCGGCGCCGGCGGGCCAAGTCGGCGCTGACGGGAACATCGAGGTTCATGTCAGCGATGATGGCGCCGCGACCTGCATTGCCGCCCGGAGTCAACGACATGTGCTGTAGCTATGAGGCTCTGACAATGCCGTGCATTGGGTGCTCAAGCGCTACCCGCACTGCGGCTGTGTATGGAATCAGGCGGCTCGGAGCGGGGAGTTTCGTCGCGCAGTACGTCCCCGAGCAGGGAGCTGGAAACCAGGCATGGTTTCAGCAACATATGGCGTGCCCGGCAGCGTTGCAGCAAGTGAATGCTCAGCAATCAGCACCAGCGGCGCAGCCAGCCCAGCGGCACTACGCAGGGCGGCAGGAGCGCGCTGGGCTCGGAGCCGTACGGCGCTCCAGCGCGCGCCGGCCTCGCACGCAATGACGCAGAGGCGCTGGGGCCCTGGTCGCAACTGCTCGGGGTACGCTGCGCGCTTGTGACTCTCAGCGGCAGCGATCGTGACGATGCGGCAGAAGGCCATGGGGCATCGGTGAGAGCAAGCAGCTCTTGCAAAGCAGTCCCCAATAAACTAGCTGGCCGGCGGCAGTTCCAGGAGGGATGCTGCCAAAAAATTCGGGATGGCAGGATTATCGTGTGCAGGAAGTGAACCGAGCTTGCGTCAAACACACAGGTCGCCTCGACGGTATGCGCGCGGCAACACGGCAGAGAGGCTGCGTACGTGAGCTGCGTGCTTCCATGGCAAGCACTGTCAGCACTGTTGATCGCGCGACCCTTGTCCAGCCAGCGGCAGATCGAACGCGAATGCAAGCGCGGTGTTGCGAACCGCACACAATATCGATGCCGACAACGACCGCGAGGCGTTGTTGTGGTGGTTAAGCAACGCGCTGTGCATGAGTCAACGATCTGGCCTTGGGTCGCCGTCTGCCTGCCCAGTTCAGGCAGCGTCCCACGCAGGCTGCGTACCGTGGGAAAAGGATGTAAAGCAGTTGGCAACGACCTCGATGCGCTTCGACTCAGTAACGGGAACATCGATGTCAAGCACGGCGCACGTTGCGCGCGACGTCTCCCGCCCGCTTCACGGCACGGTTGGCCCCGCATGCTCCAGTGCGAGGGTGCGGCAAGCCAGGAACTTTGCAACAGAGCAGGCGCCTTTGTGATGACATGTGATCGCCAAGTAGTGGGAGATAGAAGCCAGGGGCGGGGCGCGTCGTCAAGTGGCAAACATCCCATGCAGGCCTGCAACGTTTCCGAAGCGGTTTCTTCATGTGCTGCGGCACACCCCGAACATCCCCGAATCCAGCGTGTGGAACGCATGGTTGGCGTGGCGGGGTGCACAACTTCATTGAAGCTCCGGCGGTTCGGGCAGCTGCACCAGGTCGTGGTGTCTGATTGGGGTGCCAGATGGTGCCAGGGACGACCAGGCCTTTATGGGCCTTTACAGTATCAGCCGATAACCCCCTCGCCACACCGCGCAATTTGTGGTGGATGAAATGCCCGCGCCA